GTCCCCCTTGACCCTTTGGGGTCCCCGTTGACCCTTTGGGGTCCCCCCTGACCCTTTGGTGCCCCCCTGACCCCGGTGCCCCCCGTTGTCCCCCCAGACGTGGCTGTTGGGCTACGAGCTGACGGACACGGTGATGCTGTTCTGCGAGAGCCGCCTCCTGTTCCTGGCCAGCCGCAAGAAGGTCGAGTTCCTCAAGCAGGTGGCCCAGGGCAAGGCCGGGGAGGGGCCCAACGGGCTGCCCGCCGTCACCCTGCTCGTCCGGGAGAAGGTGGGTCTGCCGCTTGGGTTGGGGGGCTCCTGGTTGGGTCGGGGGGCTCCTGGTTGGGTTGGGGGGCTTCCAGTTGGGTTTGGGGTCTTCCAGTTGGGTTGGGGGGCTTCTTGTTGGGTTGGGGGGTCTCCCGTGGTCATGATTGGGTTTCCGTGATCTGGGTTGGGTCTTTAGGGCCGTGGTTGGGTGTTTATGGCCATGGTTGGGTGTTCATGGCCATGGTTGGGTGTTCATGGCCATGGTTGGGTGTTCGTGGCCATGGTTGGGTGTTCATGGCCATGGTTGGGTGTTTATGGCCATGGTTGGGTGTTTATGGCCATGGTTGGGTGTTTATGGCCGTGGTTGGGTCTCCATGACCGTGGTTGGGTTTCCATGGCCATGGTTGGGTCTCCATGACCATGGTTGGGTCTCCATGACCATGGTTGAGTCTCCATGACCATGGTTGGGTCTTCATGGCCATGGTTGGGTCTTCATGACCATGGTTGGGTGTTTATGGCCATGGTTGGGTTTCCATGATTGTGGTTGGGTCTCCATGGCCATGGTTGGGTTTCCATGATTGTGGTTGGGTCTCCATGACCATGGTTGGGTTTCCATGACTGTGGTTGGGTCTCTGTGGCCAAGGTTGGTCTCCATGGCCAAGATTGGTCTCCCCAGCCCCATTTCCCCCCCCCAGAACGAGAGCAACCAGGCCAACTTCGAGAAGCTGATCGAGGCGCTGAAGAGCAGCCGGAACGGGCGGCGCCTCGGCGTCTTCTCCAAGGACAACTTCCCGGGGGACTTCCTGCGCGCCTGGAACGAGTGTCTGAGCAAGGAGGGCTTCGAGAAGGTCCCTGAGACCCCCCAGGACCCCCCGGGCTCCCCCAGGGCCCTCCGGTGCCCTCCTACTGGGAGAGCAGCCAGTGGGAAACTGGGGGGGCAGTTAGAGAGGGAGGGGGGAACTGGTGTTGGGTCTCCATGGCCACAGTTGGGTTTCCATGGCCAAGGTTGGGTTTCCATGGCCATGGTTGGGTTTCCATGGCCATGGTTGGGTCTCCATGGCCACAGTTGGGTTTCCATGGCCAAGGTTGGGTCTCCATGACCATGGTTGGGTCTCCATGGCCATGGTTGGGTTTCCATGACCATGGTTGGGTTTTCATGGCCATGGTTGGGTTTCCATGACCATGGTTGGGTTTTCATGGCCAAGGTTGGGTCTCCATGACCATGGTTGGGTCTCCATGGCCACAGTTGGGTCTCCATGGCCAAGGTTGGGTTTTCATGGCCATGGTTGGGTTTCCATGACAAGGGTTGGGTCAGGGTTAGGGTTTGACTGGTGTAACTGGTTTAACTGGTGTTACTGGTGTCCCAGGTGGACATCAGTGCCGGGGTGGCCCTGGCCATGGCGGCCAAGGAGGACGTGGAGCTGTCCCTGATGCGCCGCGCCGCCGCCATCACCTCCGAGCTCTTCACCAAGTTCTTCAAGGAACGGGTCATGGAGATCGTCGACGCCGACGAGGTACCGGGAACGAGGGGGGTTTGGGGGGAAATTGGGGGGGGTGCGTTAGTAAAAAATTGGAGGAGTTTTGGTAAAAAATAAGATGGATTTTAGTAAAAATTAGGGGGTGTTTTGGTAAAAAGTCGAGGGGGAATTGGTAAAAATTCAGGGGGTTTTTTGTTAAAAAACAGTTTTTTGCTTAAAAAACCAGAGTGATTTTGTTAAAAATTGGAGGAGGATTTTGGTAAAAAAAATCAGAGGGATTTGGTAAAAAT